CGCTCCCCCTCCCTCTCTCTCTCTCTCTCTCTCTCTCTCTCTCTCTCACACACACACGTACGCACATGCACACACACGCCCGACCGCCACCGCGCCACGGTTATAATGAGGTTTGAGGGCCGCGCATCTCCGCCACCAGGGGGCCGCCCTGCGCCGCCCTGCGCCGCCCTGGCCGCGCTCGCGACACAACACCGAGCACTCCAGAGCAGACAGCAACAGGCCCGGGCGGGGCGGGGCGGGGCGGAGCACACCAGCCGGCAGCAAGTTTGAAATGAGAAGCGGCTAAGGCTGCGGCAAACGGCGCCGTTAATTCTTGTTTCACGAGATTAACTGAAAATTAGATGCTGCGAACTTGCAAGGCACGCTGCTGCTGCCGGTGCTGGCGGGCTGGCGGGAGACGAGATGACTCGTTCTGACTCGCGATGGAATGGAATGGGATGGCCGCCCCGCCCCCGCCCCCGCCTCGCCACCTACGCTACGACGTACCTAACAACACCACCAGCGCCAGCACCGCCAGAGCACGCCCCCTGCAGAACAGTGCACACCCCGACCACCAGGGGGCGCGGCCAGCCCACTTTTCAGTTTTCATCTCGGGAAACGGTCGCTTCCATGAAATATACACGGCGTGGCGAGCGCGGAAAAACTTGGTGCGGCCGAGCTGAGGGAGGGGGTAGTTGCGAGTGAAAGAAAAACCTCCGGCCTGCACAAGGTTTAGGAAAGGCCTGGTCCAGTCGGGGCGGCGGGGCACGCGATGCCTTAGCTGTCAAGTGCTGGTAGCGACCGTTGACAACACACAGGCCGCGTCACCCACACCACACACATCCATTTTCATCTCGAGTACGGCCGGTCGCGAGACGCGGAGCTGACTTCCGTGTGCACTTCCCCAGCCGGCTCGCCTAACAACCACCTGCAGAGCTGGTGGAAGTGAGGTGTGGTAAAGGGGGAGGGGCAAGGTGAGGGCGTCCAGGGAGAGCAACGAGAACGAACGAGCAGATCCAAACTCAGTCGAAAGAAATGAACCCGCGAGAAAATGAAGTTTAATCCCGGCGTAGCGGGGTGGGAACGAGGCTGGGAAAGCAGACGGACGGCGGCGGGCGGCCATCAGAGGTTCATGAAACAAGATCAAACCAAAAGGTGTGTGCATCAAAATATTGAACAAGTTTGTTTTTTGTTTTGCTTTTTAAGAAAGCTCTCCGAAAATGGCGGCGGCAGCAGCGCGGCGGGGGAGCCGGTGCTATTCGCTCTTCACGTTGCCCGCCCTGACAGCACCACTCCACTAACAAGCCACCCCGCCCCGCCCCGCCCCCGCCGCGCACCTTACATAATTACGCTCGGTGGATGGAGACCAGCCATCACTTCTTCTTACCCGTCTCACCTCGGCACGCCCCGCCCCCGCCGCACCAGGGGCTGCTGCTGCTACTGCGGCGGCCACACTGTGGAGAAGAAAAAGAGACAAAAGTTACGTTTACGTTCGTTTTCAGCGACGCAGTATAAAAAAAAATTCTGCTTCCGCACAACTTGTGCAAATCGCGAGACGAGCGCCGGGTTCAAGCGCCAGCTGCGAGCGAGACGCGGGAATGGTGCAAGATCCCCTGTTGCAGGCGCGCTCTCTGATTGTCTTTAAGCCCCACAAGTTCCAATCTGAGCCCTATGCGGCGAACAGGAAGCGGTCGCGGGGAGAAAGAGGGGGGGGAGGCTGACGGGGTACACGGCGCGACTGCTGAGGCTTTCCGTCTGTTTTATTATTGTAATTGCGCAGAGGGACCCCGCCGAATCCTCCCGCGGACTTATGTGCAGCGCAACTCATTTCCACCGGCGGAGTCGTCCGGAGCTCCTGCCTGGCGCCGGCATGGAGAGTGGTGCAAAATTTGTGCCTTTTGTAGTTGGGCGCTGCCAGAAACTTCTCATGGTCCAGGCATTGTCCACCGGGCAAAACAGAGAGAGAGAGGGGCAGAGAGAGAGAGAGAGAGAGAGAGAGAGAGAGAGAGAGAGAGAGAGTCGCTGCTGTGGGAAAGTTGACTGAGCCCTGTCGAGGGGCATACACAGCGCTCTCTTGAGGGGGAAGCTGTGCGGAAAAGAGAGGGAGGGAAGGAGCGGAGGGAGAGTCGAGCGCACAGGGAGCGGAGGCGGGGGATGGCAGGAAAGGTGAAGAAAATAAGAGAGAGGAGAGAGTTGGGATGAAAATGCTAACACGACGTCCTCTCCTCAACAAGGGCGGGGCGTGGCGGGCCCCGGGGCGCCCCGGCCAGGACGAGGGGCCGCCCCTGCACGCCCATACGTATGCGCATCCAGCGGACAGGACGGGCGGGCCGGCGGACGGACAGACGGCTTGTTATGTCCTGGCTGATAAGAACGAGCGGCGGGAAAAAAAATGGTCCCCGCGGCAGAAAGCTTGGCATGCATTTTCACCTGAATCGTCTTGTTCAAAACGAAGGCGAATGTCGAACAGAGCTCGCACACGTCAAACCGATTGTTTTGCCGGGCTCAGGCTACAATGATTTTTCTTAAAATTCTACAAACTCTATCGGAACGATTTATTTGGTACTAATGCACTAATTACCTCGCTGATTACTGTATGCTTGTATGATTGGCTGTCGAGTTTATGACCAACCTTACCTTGTCAGGTTTCTCTTTCATCATAAATAACACAACATGGTCAACAATTGTTTTTTCTTTCATCATGTACGATGTTGTCATTAATTATCGGAACTCAATACCATGGATCAGTGGCATGGTGACCCCAGCTAGGCTAGTTGATGAGGACGCACGAACAATGCCAACAGGGGGCCAAGGAAAAGCGAAGTTCAAATAACTGAGGGGGAAAGGGAGAGGAAGTAAGGTTTGGCCTGGTCAATCACCAGCCCGTCGAACCCCTAAAGAGA